TAATCGGTGAAGGGCTTATTGTTAACAACATAGGTTCGGAACCAATTTTCTAGACAACAATCAGTACGTCGTGTGTGAGTGCCAATATTGGTAACTCGAGGGTATCCACCGAACCCTCATGCTCAGATCACAGATACATGAGGACCGATCGGATACCTACTCTCCAATTTCGTGACCCTAAAAGCACAAACTGGAGTGGATATGAAAGGTCCCTCCAGGAGGGGCTCGGAAACGTAATTAAAACTATTAAGAAGTGGCGAATGATCAAATTCAAAATGCCCTTATTACTGCCTATCAAAACAACTGCCCACTAAAGAAGAGAAGATACCTGAAGGGTACTCCATGGTGGAGCAGAAGCCTCGACCAAAAAAGAAAAGAAGTTCGACATCTCGAGCTAAAGAATTTGGCTTCTGGGAAAAATACCTCAAATCTCTAATGGAATACAACAAGGCTACCAGAAAGGCTAAACGAGAATCGTGGAGGAAGTTCTATCAGAGTATATCAGATTTACCTGTAAGTACCAGATTTCACAAGATTCTCGCCAAAGATCCAAGACAGGAAGTGGGCTCGATAAAAAGATCCGACAACACCTATACGGACTCTGGTAAGGAAACTTTAGAGATTCTTCTACAGAAACACTTCCCAGGCAGTCGAATCCTGGAGGACAGGAAACATGTACCCCTTCCTTTAACGGAATCGATTATACGACTCAAAAAGGAGGACTGGAACAAATTGTTTCTTCAAACGCCGTGAAATGGGCGATGAATTCATTCTCTTCCTTTAAATCACCCAGAGAGGATGGCATTTTTCCCGCCCTTTTACAAAAAGGACAGGAACTCTTGCTACCCCTCCTTGTGAGGTTGTTTAGAGCAAGCCTGGCGTGGAGCTATATCCCGATAGGATGGACGTTGCCGAAAGTCGTGTATATACACAAAGGTGGTAGAGTAGATACCTCCCTACCAAACTCTTATCGTCCAATCTGCCCAACATCCTTTATTCTAAAAACACTAGAGATGATTCTAGATAGGCATATTAGAGAAGGAGGCCTTCGGGCAAACCCGTTAAACTCCTCCCAATATGCCTACCAAGCAGGCAAATCGACAGATCATGCCCGACAGATCATGCTCTGTACAATCTAGTAGGCAAAATTGGGCATTCCCAAATTCACGGGGAGATTGCGCTAGGTGCCTTCCTAGATATAGAAGGCGCGTTCAACAACCCCCTTCCTTAGTCTTTGTTCGCTTCTATTGAAAGAAGAGGAATCGACAAAATAACTTGTAATTGGATCAAAAGCATGTTTGCAAACCGGAACATCACTTCATCACTGCAGGGAGAGACTGTCATTTTTAGGCCTGCCAGAGGATGTCCACAAGGCGGCGTACTTTCACCCCTACTGTGGACTATTCTGGTGGATAACCTGCTAGACGATCTCTCCCGACAGGGGATGGATTTCCAATGCTATGCAAACGATCTGATTATCATAATTAGGAGAAAGTTCGAAGAGGTGATCTCCAACATCCTTCAACAAGCCCTTAATACGATCAACAGATGGTGCGAGAGGAAGCAGATGTCTGTTAACCCCCCGCCAAACTGTTATCGTCCCCTTTATCAAGAGAAGAAAGCTCGACAAGCTTCGACAACCTACCTTGGCTGGAAATCACCCTAGATAAGAAACTCACCTGGAACCCCCAATTGGATAAAACCATCAATAAAGCCAGATTATCCCTCTGGACCCTTAGAAGAATATGCGGCAAAGCATGGGGAATCAGTCCTCAACTGATCTACTGGATTTACCAAACAGTGGTAAAACCCTTGGTTACGTACGGCTCTGTCGTCTGGTGGGACAAGGGATTTCAATGGACGGCCAGAGCAAAGCTGGCTGGAATATAGCGGCTTGCCTGCTTCGCCATCACTGGAGCAATGTCAACCACACCTGGAGAAGCCATGGAGACCATGCTGGACCTAACCCCTCTCCACATTCTGCTGGAAAGGGAGGCCAGGGTGGTCTTCTACAGGCTCCTGAAGGTGGGTAGTCAATGTTACGAAGAACTGCGATGGGACAAGACGGGGCTGATGAGTGAAATTAATAACCACCTCATCCTCGGCATGGTCTCGGACTAGCTAGTTCCCCGACAGCACATTGAAAAGCCATACAGCGTCCTTATTTCAGAGAGAGATGCATGGAGCAGAGGGGAAAAAACACTCTCGCAGGCAGACTATGCGTTGTACACGGACGGCTCCAAAACTGAAAAAGAAGTAGGAGCGAGAGTTTTCGACCAGAGGCCTAGAGTTGACATATCAATAAACCTAGGCCACGATCTTCCAAGCAGAAATAAAAACTGAATCGAACAAATGAGGGATTTGTGAATAAAACTGTGTTGGAAAACGGAGGTCAAACTAGAAGTACTACGTGGCGTTGTAGTAAGTCTACGGTCTTCGGCAGGGCGAACTTTCGGAATCTCATGAATTTCTCCTCTAAGCCTCTTAGAGCTTTTGACTATTCGGTTATCCCTACAGCAGAAAATATAAAGACACGGCGGAGAGAGGACAGGAGCGGAAGTAATATACAACAAAGAAATTGCAAATCTAGCTACAGCTTAACGGACCACAAGATTAATATCCTGTCGACGCAATTTCTGATTATAGCGCTCCAGGCTAGGTAACCTCGTATAAACCAGACTCTGGGAGCGAAGCCGAATCAGCCCATTCTACCACGCGGGATAGTCACTATACATCGACTTACAATTCAGTCAACTGGTCGGGACAGGGATCAGAATTAAATAAACTAAAAAAAAACGTTAATCGCGGGGCTAACGAAATTTACTAGAGGAATACAGACTTGTACTAAACGGCAGTGAAGGTAGCTAAGCTTCACTTCTGTTCAATAGCAAATCCGAAACGTATTATCTGAGTTGGTTATCAAATTAGCCCATTCTACTACGGGAATAGTCACTGTCTTCAATAACAACTCAGACGATACTCTAAGTCAGGGAATTTTATAGCGGAATGTACAAAAGAAATACTTAGGAACCCTAGTACGGCCTAACAGGAAAGATGAAGGGACGAACTTCAAATGAATTAGTTACTTAATGAATGTTTAATTAATTTCTTGGCAACCCGGTATAATTAATTTTAAACAAAATATTCGGAGAAGTTCAAACTACTTCTAAGTTAATTACCCACCCAGGATTATTATTTTTCAAACTAATATAAAATTAACGGAAACTAAATTTTGTACAATCCCGGTATAAATAACTATTTTCGAAACCAATATTTACAAGTATTAGTTTAACGATTTATTCAGTATTAATATTTCTAAAAACAAATTCTATTTATGAAATAAAAATAATCCGAGCTAATATTTAATTGAAATGAATTCAATTATTTTATACTGCTCTCAACGTTATTGTAAAATTAGCAAACAAAATCCGGATTTGCTTCCAAAATACTGATAAGGTTGCAAATAAAAAATTGAATGAAAAGAAAATGTAAACAACTCGGGAATTTAATGGATTCCTGCTGGTTTCACACGGTTTTTGGGACACTCGGCTGAATGAAAATTACAGGAATAATCTAATTACCTATCGGAATAGCGGTACAATGAAAAAAAAAGATATTTTGAAATTCTAACGGAATTGACGCGGTATCGCAGTTCGGTCTCAAAACAACTAGATTAAAATTGAATGATCGTCCGCTATTTTCGACTAGCACACGTTCTTCAGCTCTCGAGCCGATCTTAAGTGCGCAAGATTGGCAGTGGGGATGCGATGAATTTACAGCAATAGGAAATTTAAAATAAAATCAAAATGATTTGCAAATCACGGGAATTTCAAAAAATAATAATTTAAAAATTATGGAACTTTAAGAAAATGGTTGATCCAGTTAAATAAAAATAGGAATTAATTTTTAGTTTGTTACTTTATTCCCGTGGAAATACTTTTTTTCCGGGAGGTGGGATATGAATATAATAACTTAATGCAATTTACCCCTAAGGGGTTACAGAAGTCTAAAGTAAGGCCATAAATTTCGAAAAGATTTAATATATTTGCAACCGTTTAACTTAAGAAATCTATATTGTTAAATTATTTAATTTTTTTGTCCATAATTTGATTTTATGATATAGTGTATAATATAAAAAGGTAGAAGTTAATATTTTACAATATTTGCTTAACATCTTGTGCAAATCGTCCTGTCCCTGGTACCACGCTAAAGACTGAGCGTGCCATTTATTGATGAATTTATTATTCTTTTAGTTGGGTTCATGTTAATATTATATGAATTAATTTCTTTTTCTATCTAGTTATTTTAATTTATGAGTTATGAATACATCATAAGCCGTGTACTCAGCCGAAGGTTATTGTTTTTACGAAGTACTTGAACAGTTTTGTATCTTTTTTAAAGATTTGGTTCTTGAACATTAATTTTGAACTTGTTGACAAATATAATATATTGGATATATTTTTGTAATTAGTTTTTTAATAATAATTTTAATATTGTTAATAATTTGGTAAATTTTTTTAAAAAGGCACATAAGTTTGAAGTTTGTCTTTTATTTATTTCCTCATTTACTGTGTTTGTGGAGAAATAAAAACATAGTTTAGGCACTATAGAGACCCAGTTGGTGCTTCTAGCTACCGTCTGAGCGATATACAAGGCCCGAATGTTGATACCGGAACAACCGAATATTATATAACCTCAGTAGACAAAAATTTTATTGATAAAGTTATTTTTTTTAGGTTTATTTTTAGGCAATTTTTTCCTTCTGGAAATCGGTAAGTACATTTGGTAAGTTACACACTACTAATCCTTATAATGTCAACCACAACCGCAGAATTGATGTTTAAATGTAATTCCTGTCGTGGATCTTCAGAAAATATTTATTTTTCAATATTACACACACATTGCATTTAAAAAACAGCACCTTGCAAGACATTTATGTATATACCTATAATTGTGTATTGTGTTTAAAAAAATAAACAAAATTAAAAAAATAAATACATCTTTATTCATCTAAATTTCAGTAACTTCATTAATCCAACTTGTATATTTCGACACTTTGGTAAACACTGCAGGATAATCAGCTTCGCAACCAAGTCCTGGAGATATTACTCCATAAACTACGTTGTCCACTGCAACAGGACCACCGAAATCACCCATGCAGACGTCTTGGTCTTTTCCTCTAGCGCAGAATTTAGTGTCTGGTACTTCCACGGAAGTGCCCGTGTACTGATCTGCACAGGCGTTTCTATTAATGACCAGAAGTTCTACTAATTGAAGAATTGAAGCTCCTAAAGAAAGGCAAAAAAATCGGTAAATTATTTTACCCAGAACTTTCTTCGATATAGATATTGTAAAAACAGGGAACGGTTAAGTATTTTATATTTTAATAAAACACCCTTTTCCACATTTAAGAAAGGTCCTTTTCATGGTTTATTTTATGTTTTATTTACTGTAGCAACGTATTCAGATCTTCAGGTTGTTTTAGAGAGTATTTTAGATACCCCTTTCTACTTGATTCCAAATTTTTCCCATAATATACCCTACTTAAGGAACACCTTTTAAAAAGAACAGTAGTAAAAAGGAAGTAAGTAACAAACCTGTTGAGTTTTTTTCAACTCCCCATCCCACGACATTAACAGCTGTACCCTCGTCGAGTTCTTCTCCAGCTTTTGGTAACGAAGCAACTTTTGCACTTTCAACAGTAACAGGCGATTTCAGCTGCAATAAAGCTATATCGTTCTCCATATTTACAGAGTTGTATTTTGGATTGACCAAGATGTTTGATACTTCTACCAGTTGCCCGTTTTGGTCCGGTTGACTGCTACCGGCTCGTATTGTCAGTTCGGTTACGTTCAAGTTGATGCCCGAGACGCAGTCGGCTGCTGTCAGTACCCAAGTGGAGGAGATTAAGGAACCACCACAGAAGGAGTTGTTCCAGTTTTGAAGGGATACTGTCCACGGATGGGCGCTGATATCAGTATCGTTGCCTCCCCAGATTTTTAGATGTTGGTCGTCCAATGAATGGATAGCTGAAATAAATAAAATTTTCATCATTTTTATTTAATTTTATTCAATTTTGTTCAATTTTATTCAATTTTATTCAATTTTATTCAATTTTATTCAATTTTATTCAATTTTATTCAATTTTATTCAATTTTATTCAATTTTATTCAATTTTATTCAATTTTATTCAATATTATTCAATTTTATTCAATTTTATTCAATTTTATTCAATTTTATTCAATTTTATTCAATTTTATTCAATTTTATTCAATTTTATTCAATTTTATTCAATTTTATTCAATTTTATTCAATTTTATTCAATTTTATTCAATTTTATTCAATTTTATTCAATTTTATTCAATTTTATTCAATTTTATTCAATTTTATTCAATTTTATTCAATTTTATTCAATTTTATTCAATTTTATTCAATTTTATTCAATTTTATTCAATTTTATTCAATTTTATTCAATTTTATTCAATTTTATTCAATTTTATTCAATTTTATTCAATTTTATTCAATTTTATTCAATTTTATTCAATTTTATTCAATTTTATTCAATTTTATTCAATTTTATTCAATTTTATTCAATTTTATTCAATTTTATTCAATTTTATTCAATTTTATTCAATTTTATTCAATTTTATTCAATTTTATTCAATTTTATTCAATTTTATTCAATTTTATTCAATTTTATTCAATTTTATTCAATTTTATTCAATTTTATTCAATTTTATTCAATTTTATTCAATTTTATTCAATTTTATTCAATTTTATTCAATTTTATTCAATTTTATTCAATTTTATTCAATTTTATTCAATTTTATTCAATTTTATTCAATTTTTATTTTTTATTCAATTTTATTCAATTTTATTCAATTTTATTCAATTTTATTCAATTTTATTCAATTTTATTCAATTTTATTCAATTTTATTTAATTTTATTTAATTTTATTCAATTTTATTCAATTTTATTCAATTTTATTCAATTTTATTCAATTTTATTCAATTTTATTCAATTTTATTCAATTTTATTCAATTATAAGCAATCCATTTTATTCAATTTTAATCCATTTGAATTAATTTTATTCAATTTTGATCCATTTGAATTAATTTTATTCAATTTTAATCCATTTAAATTAATTTTATTCAATTTTAATTAATTTTAATCGATTTTAATCAATTTTATTCGATTTTAATCAATTTTAATCAATTTTAATCAATTTTAATCAATTTTAAACAATTTTAATCAATTTTAATCAATTTTAATCAATTTTAATCAATTTTAACTAATTTTAATCAATTTTAATCAATTTTAATCAATTTTAATCAATTTTAATCAATTTTAATCAATTTTAATCAATTTTAATCAATTTTAATCAATTTTAATCAATTTTAATCAGTTTTAATCAATTTTAATCAATTTTAATCAATTTTAATCAATTTTAATTAATTTTAATCAATTTTAATAAATTTTAATCAATTTTAATAAATTTTAACCAATTTTAATCAATTTTAATCAATTTTAATCAATTTTAATCAATTTTAATCAATTTTAATCAATTTTAATCAATTTTAATCAATTTTAATCAATTTTAATCAATTTTAATCAATTTTAATCAATTTTAATCAATTTTAATCAATTTTAATCAATTTTAATCAATTTTAATCAATTTTAATCAATTTTAATCAATTTTAATCAATTTTAATCAATTTTAATCAATTTTAATCAATTTTAATCAATTTTAATCAATTTTAATCAATTTTAATCAATTTTAATCAATTTTAATCAATTTTAATCAATTTTAATCAATTTTAATCAATTTTAATCAATTTTAATCAATTTTAATCAATTTTAATCAATTTTAATCAATTTTAATCAATTTTAATCAATTTTAATCAATTTTAATCAATTTTAATCAATTTTAATTAATTTTAATTAATTTTAATCAATTTTAATCAATTTTTATCAATTTTAATCAATTTTAATCAATTTTAATCAATTTTAATCAATTTTTATTAATTTTAATCAATTTTAATCAATTTTAATCAATTTTAATCAATTTTAATCAATTTTATTCAATTTTAATCAATTTTAATCAATTTCAATCAATTTCAATCAATTTTAATCAATTTTAATCAATTTTAATCAATTTTAATCAATTTTAATCAATTTTAATCAATTTTAATCAATTTTAATCAATTTTAATCAATTTTAATCAATTTTAATCAATTTTAATCAATTTTAATCAATTTTAATCAATTTTAATCAATTTTAATCAATTTTAATCAATTTTAATCAATTTTAATCAATTTTAGTAAAATTTAATCAATTTAAATGGGTTAATATTTCCCAAAAACTACTAAAGCAACAAAAATATTTTTATTTATTTTTTCTTAAGTGGTGTCGTTAGAAATTAATTTTTTTTCCGACCCCTAAAAAAACCTTTCTTTTGATGAAAAAATATAGGGATTTTTTTTCAAACAGGAACACGTGCCGCAAGCCGATTGAAGTTTAATTTTTCATAAAACTGTAGTTTTTTCAAAATATCTCTTAAAGTAGACGGATTTGAGAAAAAATCTGAAAATTTTGATTTTATGGAGTCAATGAGTTTTTATTGAGAATATCTCCATAAATATGAACTAAAAAATAAAAAAACACATTTATTGTTCAACAGTAAAATTCCAATCACAGAACAATTTAATAGGTAATGCTAGAAATATAAAAAATGTAAAGTCGAAAAAAAATTTAAATACAAAAATTAAAAATACAAAAATTAAAAATACAAAAATTACATAAAAAAATACAATAAACAAATATACAAACAAATAAATATATAAGTTTTAAGTCTGAGACTGATACAGTGTTGCTCTAGATTGTTATCAAAAACTTGGACAGGATAAGTACGATCAAGCTTAAAAGTGTCATACTTTAAAAAATATTGTTGAACACTTTCAATTTGATCATTGTGTGAATGTTTTAATATGGACACCAAACCAAAGCAGCATATTCAAGACGAGATCGAACACATGCAAACTACAGTGTTTTCAAATAATAAATTGAATTGAAGTCTTTACAGTTTCTTAAAATAAAATCTAGCATTCTTCTCGCACTTAGGACCATTTTGCTGATATGGTCCGAGAAACTGAGCTTTGTATCTACTTTAAAACTACCATTTCGCAAGCCGAGATCGAGACCGACTTTAAAACGCAATATTCCATTGACCCGTTAGGCTACAATTTGCAATATTATTTGTTAACTTTTTGATAAATGTTAATTTCAAAACACTTATAGAGATTTTTACTAGCTCAGTGAAATTTAATATCAAACGTTACTTACCTTTAAAAATTAAAAAAATAAATTAGCACATCCTTTTCTCTGTCGTGAATTCGGCTTTTCAAATAGACAATTTTAAGGGTAGTAATCTTTCTAGGAAATGTTGGGCACCAATAATTCTCTTTTTTATTTTTAAAAGCTAGTGAGAATTATAAATTCTAGCTTTATCAATAAAAAGAAGTTAATAAAAATTATACAGAATTTAGTGAATGAAAGAGAATTTTTTGTGACCTTTAAAAAATAAGATTCAACATATATACTTATAAAAATTAATGATTTTATTTAAAAAAAAAACCTTTTCGAAAACAAATTATTCACAGTTATCAGGTATCAAATTGTGATTCGTACATAAATAATTCTAGTCACTAGTAATTACCACATTTTACTTTGTTATATAGCTAACCACTTCTAGATAACCATAGGTAGTTGAGATTTCTGTCCCTCGCCAACGCCAACGCCAACGCCTTTGTCGGTTAATCTTTCTTCTTATGAAGCTTCGAATTGTAGCTGTCGCTTTTCCAATCAACTAACTTTTCACAAGAGATTTCTGCTCCTCGAGAACCAACGTTCAGATTACAGCGGTTGAATTATGGTTTTATGGCTTTATGACGTTATGGCTTATGTCGTTATGGCTTATGTCGTTATGGCTTATGACGTTATGGCTTATGACGTTATGGCTTATGACGTTATGGCTTATGACGTTATGGCTTATGACGTAATGGCTTATGGCTGATTCCATTCGTTTGCTAGATAAAAATAGATTTTGTTTTTCACGTGGTTCTGTACGATATATAAATTTAAAACATCCACTTTTTTTTAATAAAAACTAGTGACTATACATATTGTGCCGTTCTAGCAACCAGAATGAATCATAAAAATATATTTAACTTTACTATTAAAAAACTAATAATTAACAAAAGGTTTGAATAATTTTTCTACTGAGATATTTAATAAAGACATTATATACTTTTTATGCTTACCACTTTAACAGCCAAATGCACCACCGATACAATCGTAAGGTAATATTAAAATGAAATTTACAAATCTAATTTGAGATCGTTTGGTTAGTGTCCCTTGTGTGTTGGCGATAATTAAATTATACCGGATGGCACACATTTAAAATAACATTTTATAATTAGACTTTTAAAATGTTACACACGACAGCAAGACAGACCAAAAACATGTAATTTAGTAAAACACATTTCGGTAGAGGCGACCGACGACAACAGATTTAGTATGATAATGTGAAGACACAATTATCATTAACCCTTATTTATTATATCAATATTAAAAGTTAGATACTACCGACGAAAAACGAACTGTTGTATTAACGTTTTTTTCGCAATGTTTATGTTATTTAAGTTAAATTAATAAAAAGTATTTTTTGTACAAAAGTGTCAAAAAAACTTGACATTTCTGCATCTCTATTGATGCGTAAATGTTTACTTTTTTCACTGCCAAAATAATTCACAACATAAACATGAAATATTACTTTTTGAAGGATTTATTTTTTCAATTATTAATTGATTATTCATCATAAAACAATTTCATTTATTGGAATAATAATTAATAGTAAAGTTTGAACAATTACTTTCAACATAAATTCCCGTGTATTGGAAATATTCATTTTTAATATATTTCAGACGATGTAAATTCACATTGACAGTTGTACAAAAAATCTGATGTGTCCAACACATGACTTTCCTATCTAGTTATTACAGGCTTTTTCCGGTTATTTTGTACAACCTATTGCAGCACCTCCATAAATGTTTAGAGGATAAAATAAATATATACATTTTCCACATACATCTACCTCGAAACATTTTTTCTATATATGTTCATTGAAAATGAAAATACTAAAAAATTTAAATTTAGCACTTTTCCTAAAATTTTTCCATTACGGTCCATTTTAGAAAAATCATGTATAAACAAAAATTATAGACATCGATATCGCAAACAACTTTTAGTTCAACAATTTTCATAAAAATCAGAATTTTGCACATTTTGTCAAATTTCTCGAATACGGACCATTTCAGGAAATTTTGACATAAAGCAAAAATTATAGATAATAGTATTAGAAATAACTTTTATTTAAACAATTTTTTTCCCCAAACCTAAATAACAGATATATTCCATAAAATATAAAAATGACCAATCATAAAGTACCCCCCAGATGTTCCGACACTGCCCAAAATCTAATCAGTACATTGGACTCTGGAAAAAAGCTTAAGTTTAAAATTTGGTGTTTTTCTGTGTATCGGTTCATGAGTTATGCGACACACACACACACACACACACACACACACACACACACACACACACACACAGACAGACACACACACACACACACACACACACACACACACACACACACACACACACACACACACACACACACACACACACACACACACACTCACACACTCACTCACACACACACACACACACACACACACACACACACACACACACACACACACACACACACACACACACACACACACACACACACACACACACACACACACACACACACACACACACACACACACACACACACACACACACACACACACACACACACACACACACACACACACACACACACACACACACACACACACACACACACACACACACACACACACACACACACACACACACACACACACACACACACACACACACACACACACACACACACACACACACACACACACACACACACACACACACACACACACACACACACACACACACACACACACACACACACACACACACACACACACACACACACACACACACACACACACACACACACACACACACACACACACACACACACACACACACACACACACACACACACACACACACACACACACACACACACACACACAGACAGACACACACACACACACACACACACACACACACACACACACACACACACACACACACACACACACACACACACACTCACACACTCACACACTCACTCACACACACACACACACACACACACACACACACACACACACACACACACACACACACACACACACACACACACACACACACACACACACACACACACACACACACACACACACACACACACACACACAACACACACACACACACACACACACACACACACACACACACACACACACACACACACACACACACACACAGACAGACACACACACACACACACACACACACACACACACACACACACACACACACACACACACTCACACACTCACACACTCACTCACACACACACACACACACACACACACACACACACACACACACACACACACACACACACACACACACACACACACACACACACACACACACACACACACACACACACACACACACACACACACACACACACACACACACACACACACACACACACACACACACACACACACACACACACACACACACACACACACACACACACACACACACACACACACACACACACACACACACACACACACACACACACACACACACACACACACACACACACACACACACACACACACACACACACACACACACACACACACACACACACACACACACACACACACACACACACACACACACACACACACACACACACACACACACACACACACACACACACACACACACACACACACACACACACACACACACACACACACACACACACACACACACACACACACACACACACACACACACACACACACACACACACACACACACACACACACACACACACACACACACACACACACACACACACACACACACACACACACACACACACACACACACACACACACACACACACACACACACACACACACACACACACACACACACACACACACACACACACACACACACACACACACACACACACACACACACACACACACACACACACACACACACACACACACACACACACACACACACACACACACACACACACACACACACACACACACACACACACACACACACACACACACACACACACACACACACACACACACACACACACACACACACACACACACACACACACACACACACACACACACACACACACACACACACACACACACACACACACACACACACACACACACACACACACACACACACACACACACACACACACACACACACACACACACACACACACACACACACACACACACACACACACACACACACACACACACACACACACACACACACACACACACACACACACACACACACACACACACACACACACACACACACACACACACACACACACACACACACACACACACACACACACACACACACACACACACACACACACACACACACACACACACACACACACACACACACACACACACACACACACACACACACACACACACACACACACACACACACACACACACACACACACACACACACACACACACACACACACACACACACACACACACACACACACACACACACACACACACACACACACACACACACACACACACACACACACACACACACACACACACACACACACACACACACACACACACACACACACACACACACACACACACACACACACACACACACACACACACACACACACACACACACACACACACACACACACACACACACACACACACACACACACACACACACACACACACACACACACACACACACACACACACACACACACACACACACACACACACACACACACACACACACACACACACACACACACACACACACACACACACACACACACACACACACACACACACACACACACACACACACACACACACACACACACACACACACACACACACACACACACACACACACAATTCGTGTTTTCATGGCACATTCGAGAGAATTTTTAACACTCTCATGTACCATTAAAAAAACACTCATTTTACGCACTTAATACAAAAATAACTATTTCGAAACCTTAACAGAACTTAGTTTGTTAATGGAGTACATATATTTAATTTTTTGAATGTTGGCACACTGTTTTATACCATGGATGGACACACTGTATATAATAAATAATATCTAGATACGTACCTAAAGCTACATTGACAATTGTAAAAAGGACGGCTACTTTCAACATGGTTACATTGGTTTGATAAAAATGTATTAAACATTATTAATATAGTTTTTATATATAGGTAAAGCAAAAATAAAATATTTAGATAAGTAGGTACTTGACTAAGTCCTTCAAAACCCCAAAATTATTTATATTTATCATATTAGCAACAAGGAACCTGAAATAAGTACCTATAAGTGTTTTTTTTTTGATAAATTGGCAATGATAATAAGATAAATTCATTATTTTACACATAATAGACGGCTAATAACCTTGGTAGCTGATGCCGATGATATCAAATAAAAAGAATAATTTTGTCTAAAGTTACGTCTACAGTTTAGAGATATATATCTATTATTTTATTTAATTTTTTATTTGCCAATACCTGAAACTCTTGGCAAATGCTTTATGAAACTTATAAGATTATAAGTTGCAAACCATCCAAATTTTACACCATTTTATATGTGTAGGGGAGACCGGGGTGGTTGTAACAGGGGCAAAAAGTAACGGCTCCACAGATGGGACAAAGACAGACATAGGTATGTGTAAGAAAAAGAGAGAATTACTCACGCGGTTGGGTTCCGCCTGCGTATGGGGATGGCAAAACAAATAAATATATCGAATCGAACGGTATATCGAAATGTAAATATCGATCATAAAATATATCTGTAGAAATATATCGTTAAAAGCGATATATCGAATATCGAATTTTTCAAACTGTCAAAACTCCAAAAAAAATAGTTACATTAAGCAATTTTTATCGGCATAAACCAACATGAACGTTTATGATAGATTATGTTACTTAGACCAATCAGACATGTCTAAATAACATAATCTATCAGTGGCGGCTTGTAGTAATTTAAAATGGATGTTCACTTTTTCCAATAATTTTATCATTTGTAAGTTCGGTACAAAACTTTGTACAGCATCATACTGTTTTCAAGCACTAAAACTATTAATAAATGAATATTTTAGTTAGTGTAATATTTTAATATTTGTTTTGTTTTTAATACGTTGAAAACCATCTATAAATATTATTAGTTAGTAAACTGACTTTTCTTCATAATTTGAGATTATTTTTAAATGTACAATAATTCCTGACCTACTCTTAGTTTTGTTGATATGTTAAGTCCAGGACGGATGAATTGCTCTAGAAATTTAGTTAAAAAATTGTAAATAGCTCGTTAACTAAGAAAGATACAAAGTTCATTTCGCCATAAAAAAAATTTAAAAATTCATAGTTCTTTTTGATTTTAGGATCTTAAGTTTCTTAATGTCAAAAAAAAATACGGGGTGGTTAAAAGGTACCCAACCCCCCAACTTTTTTTAAAGGAGTCGCTTTAAATTTTTTTCTCCTTAGAATATAGTGCCTTCAAATCTACAGCACTGGCAAAAATTTCGCAGAAAAAATCGCAACAGCAAACTTTTTACAAAAAAAAACATTTTTCCGAATGTTAGTTTAACACCCTGTAACTTTGTTGGGAGCCAGTTTTTGATATAGGTAAATATAGCCAAATCCACTTATTTTTTGATAATCTAACTGAGGATGAATTAATGACATACCTTTTTGAAACACCCTGTATATCAGGTTATGTAGAAAGCTGGACATTGATTTTTGTGTAAAAAAATATATGAAACTTTACCTACCATTTTTCAGTTTTTATTGTAAGTTTAATCATTTTCACAATATGTTACAGATGTCAAATAAAATAAGAACTAAAATGTTTAAAATGTTTATTTTATAAGATCAGTCCCTACACAATACCTAATGTTATTACACAGATACAAACTAGAATAAAGATATATAATGCCTGCCATTCTAAATGATACTCTTTGTAGTTTAACAAACCCCTTAACCCCCATTTTCAACCAGATTGTTTTCACAATCAATAGGCCTCATCTCCTTACAGAGCTTGATTTTTACTAAAAATTTCATGTTGATATCGCTTTTCATTTTTGATTTTTTTTTAATTTCAACCCCCCTTAAATCCCCCATATTTAATCAGATTTTTTTTAAATTAAAGGGCTTCTCCTTTTAGAGCTTGATGTTTGCTAAAAATTTCAAATTGACATCATTTTTCGTTTTTCAGTTAGGATTGTTTTTAATATTTTAACCCCCCCTTAACTCCCCAATATATTCATATTTTTTTTCAATATCAATAGGTTTTATCCTCTTATAAAGCTTAATTTTTACTAAAAATTTCATGTTGATATTGCTTTTCGTTTTTAATTTAGGATTTTTTTTTAATTTCAACCCATCTTAACCTCCTATTTTTAATCTGATTTGTTAAAAATCTTTTTTATCTTTGGCATTGTCCCCTTATAGAGCTTGATTTTTGCTTAAAATTTTCAAGTCGATATCATGTCTCGTTTTTGACTTATCGTGCAGACAAAAAACGTGACATAGGACAGACCGACAAAGTAAAGCTATAATACTCTTCATAGAATACTGTATGAAGAGTAGAAAAAAAAATATGTAAGGTAAAATAAACAATTTAAAAAGGTCAACAATAATATTCAACTTCTTTTATCAAAGGATACTAAAAGTTTGAAATAGCAGCACATAATTGAACGTTTACTGTGCACTAAAATAGTGAGATACACATCGTAAAATGTTATCACACTTAATTCTCCATATGACCCTTTCTAAGTATATTTCACAGCACATTCCAAAGTATCCTTGCTCTCACTAATGTCCTACGCTCATGGCTGGCTTTTGCATGTCCAAGTTTACTAAAAAATAATGTGTTTTAATAAATAATAGAATAATAGTATTTTGTCTAAATAGGTAAATCGGCTTCATCTGTATTTTCAAATTATTAATTGTAGATAGTATATTAATGTTTTAATATATACTTATAGGACTTATAGGACCCAGAGCGTGTAGATATGTGGGATGTGACTTGTTAAGTGCCTAATCAAAATTTGTTTGATACTTATTGCTCTTTTCGAGACATACTTTATTACTAACTGTAAACTAATTTACCAGGTTTGTATGCACAAAATCTAAACTAGAGGGTAACACGATTGATAATTTCAGGCAAAAATAACTTATGAACTATTTAAATGTACCTACATACCATTTCTTAGTTTCTCATTATGAGTAGGTATATTAAATTCAACTGGTTAAAGTGAAAAACCATTTGTGTCTTTATTTTTATCAAACGTTTATTGTATATTTCCATAATGATGTAGTTACCTTATCAGAACAAATACATTTTTCCTTTTAGCGGGTTTTTTGCTTACTTCTTACTTCATAGTATTTACAGTTTAATACAAAATAGACCATTTTGAAGTGGACATAGAATTAGAATTAGACACTGAAACAAAATATAAAACAAATTACATTCGTAAAACTTTATTATGGTTAAATAAAACAACAACTTTAAAAATAATTTTATTTACCTTGCCTTAAAGAAGTTTTTCTAAATAAAATAATCTTAGTTTTATTCAGGATGAAAGACAATTATTGTCATTCACCGTGGTTTTATTTAAAGAGTTTTATTTTCATTTTTCATAGTAGACGAATGAAAGATCTATACTTCGTGAATGACAGTATGACAGAAGACCGAATGACAGTTTGTTTGGTTTGGTACAGTGTTGCCAAAATATGTTTTTGTTATGTACCAGATTTGTCTGAAAAATGTACCAGATTCCTAAAATGTACCTGATTTTTCGAATTCTACTTACAGTGACATCTAAATTCATTGAAGAGTAAAAAGGGGTCTTTATTGATAACGAACCAAACAAGGAACACAATGTTTATATATTTTTCACGTGAACACTGATGCACGCAGAATGTACTACATCTAGTACAATTGTGAATTATACTAGACTGGAAACATTGGTTTGGCAACCTTGTTTGTGAGCGGTGCGCCAATTAATGTGTTCTTTGATAGTTTGAAGGATCTGTTGGCGTGTTGTCTTCTCTTTTTAGTTAAATGTATTTGCCAAATAGTCTCACTCGTGTTAGGCTCACTCATCATAATGCGACACAGACACGGTATACTTAGGTATATTGTGCCACAGAGACGCCATCAGCCAGAGAGCAATGATGTACCAAAAAATATAGATTAACACGTATGAAAATAAAAATATTAAAATTAAATTTATATTTTTATATTATTTATGTAATTTTAAAATAATGTTTTTATGAAATTGAACTGGGTGTTCACTGCACAAATGAACCAATGGAGAAAACGCCCCTGGTAAGAATAAACATTGTCCAAAAATTTTTAATTCGCCAATTTTACTATTTTTAAAATATATACCGTCTTATATGTGTGCCTGATGCAGGAAATAAAACAACATTTCTGTAAAGGTCTAATTTTTTCAATTAAAGAATAAAACCTCAAAACCAATATATCAGTTTTATTATTAATAAATACAGGAGGCTAGTTTTGGCCTCACAGGGACATCTTCAGGCATGTAATACAATTTTCCTAAATTATTTTAATAGGAATGATATAAGAATAGGTTGGTCACTTACGATTAAAATTAAATAGTATAAATGACAAAAATGGATCCACATTGTAGCATTACAGTATTGTAGAATTAAAGCTGTGGAGAAGGAAAAATAAAAGAGCGGTGCAAACTAACTAAAAATAATAAAAATGGGTACGGAATCTACAAGAGATTAGAATGAGCAATTACGAATGCATTTAAATTGCTCTGGACAACAAATAAGGCTCATAATGTATCAAAGAAGGCCCGGAGATGTGAAAGAGGATTCGGCGTTTTCTCTGTAAATTTTGAGAATGTAAGGATGGAGGGAAAATGTTAGGTTATTTCTTATATCTACGTTATGCATTGATGTCCGATAAATTAATTTGTTCTTAAGATATGGTGGTTGTGAAGTGTTGATTATCTTAAATAGCTGTGAAAGAAAGAGATACTGGAATGGGTTTCCAACATTCAACCATTTACTTTGTGAAAATGCCAGAGAAATATAGTCGAATTTTCTTAGATCATTTACGAACCTACAACATGTATTTTGCATAATTTGGAGTCGACTTCGATTTAAAAAAGTTGAGCAGG